CTTGTACTAGTTAAGAGCATATGATCCAAAGTACTGACTCTGTTTTGAAGTATGAGAGTTTCGAAATCCTAAACACTTTTACGTGAGAAATTGGATCTTGACTTTGTTAATATGGATACCGAAACAATGAACAAACGAGAAGAAATACATCTTTTCTTATTAATGCCACACAAAAAAAACCGAGAAGCGACGAAGCAAAGCTCTTCTATAAAAATTAGTTTGGTAACGACACTCAAATATTTTAAAACTAAAGTGATTCTTCTCATGTTAATCTACTTGGAAGCTACACAAACAAAAATCAATAGAGTGAACTCGAAAAGCCAAAAATAAACGAAAAGCTTACTAAAGAGATGCTTCATATATGATTCTCCAGTGAATATCCAAACAAGCTCTTCCTAGAGTGCTACAAAGTCTCAAGTCAAAGCAAAATCTTAAAACATGCTTGAACTCTTCAAGAAAAAACGAAATGGAAACCATAACGTAACAAATAACTTAACGAGTAAGACATAAAAGACGCAACTAGAAAAATTAGCTCTACTTTAAACAAGAGTTGTACATCTTAAAAGACAAATCCCATAGAAATCAGAATTCCTTGCAAACGCAACAGTCAACACAATACATATTAGGATTAAATTAGCTCTATTTTTAAGATAAAAACCAAACAAAATCATAAGAGGAACAATATCAGAAGAGTCGAAATTTAAATATAAAAGTCTCACGTTATAAAGCCTTGAACACAGTTACATAAACTTCATATTCTCTACATAGTCTAGAAAGGTGCGAATGAGAATTGGATCATCATGCTTGAACTCTTCAAATCCTTGAATATAGATTCTTGTAATAGTGTTCCTCTCGATGTTGTAGAAGTAAAGGTAGAACGGGTTTGATAGAAACCCGTGCGAAAACACAATCTCGCCGGAACCGGTCATTCCGACAATCTTGTTATTGTTGACTATATATATATCTCTCCACAGAGGTGGCACTACATATATAATTTTGGACCATTTATGTTTTCCAGCATCTTTTAGAACCCACAATACAAGTTGTTTTGTAGCTGAACTTGGTTGACACACACCTAATTCACCTTTGTAGCTGAACAAATTCCAATAGCACTCAGGTTTCATACCTTTATCTCTATTAATAAAGCTAAATTTCTCATACCTAAAATCGAAGCAAACAATCCTACAAGATCCTCCAGTACCAGCTTGGTAATACAAAACACCATTTATGTATGTTTCATAAGACCTCTGAAAATGGGGAGGTATTGGTTCTTCAATCGTCCTCCATAAACGTTTTCCAGCCTCCAATGTCAAAATCCGATGACTATTTGGTCTCCCATAACGTGACCAAGTCATACACAACACTTTAAACTGTTTGTTGATCGGATCATATCCAAAATAGCTTTTCTTAACACCCGTCGCTTTCACTTTGGGTAAGGTTATTGACTCTCCCGTGACAGGGTTACAAAGCACCCGCTTTTTTCTTTTCGAATTTTGAAGAAAGACCAATCCACAAAGCGGGGGAGAAATTTTAGTTGGAAAATATTTTGGAAAACGCTTATAAGGAGTGGCTACAAGAAACGAATTCTTATCAGGATTCTGAGGTTGAGGTGAAGAAAAGACGAATAACTCTCCATCAACTTTAAAGGTGAACAAGAGTCGTAGACGAGTCAAAGACTTAGTCAGAAACAACTCAGTGAAATCTTGACGTACAAGTATGGTTGACCAGAATTTCGATACGCAACGAAACCTGGCTATAGACTTTGCCGGGACTCTAGATAATATCTCTATAAGAACATCAACTGGGATCGGATCCGAAATCTTCTGCTTCAATTTTTTCATGGTCGATTGGAATGTTAAACCCTAGAGATTCTTAGGTTAGACTTTAGACGTCAATCACCAAATTACAGGCAACTATCCCAAAGAATGGCTCCTATTAGGCCCAATATCCACTCACCAATTTGGAACCAATTGTGTGTCCTTAATCTCTATGAAGAAAAATAATCAAAAAAATTATTCAGTTTTTTTAAAATTAGAAATCTTGAATGCATTTAAAAAATATTCATAAAAAAATATAACTTTGAAGGGAATTTTAAAGCCAAACTAGCTTTGATATAAACAATAAAGACATTTACATAAGCTTCACATCCTCTAGAATACCATCATATATCAACTCTTGCGATGATATTCTTCTCATGTAGTAAACAAGCTTAGAATGTACCAACCTCTTTAACTGGGACTACAATTAGTGAATGTACCAACCAATTCACGGGATATGAATTGCTTAAACTCAAAGAGAAAGATGAAACCGTACATGGTGTGTTTAGAAGAGATAGTTTCTGTGTGTTTTGTCTCTGCGACCTTTCCTTATTACGTTGCAATTCTTGCATTCTCTAAAGGAGTTATTATTTGGTTGCACAGTCGATGTTTGTTTCATTGTAAAAGAACGTTTTATGCCAAATGCATATGTATATCCGCAATGCCTTGAAAACATGATCTAGCTAAGTAGTTTCTAACAAATGGCTTGAAGAGGAGCTTCAAATGGTATGAACACTTTCTCACAATAATAATGTCTCTATTGAGCTCAAAAGAAGCAATTAGTAAATAATTGCATCAATGTTTTAGTCTTGAATCTGGTAGAGCATTTTAGAATGAATCTCAATTAGAGAAGTGAAACTCTTTGTAAAATACTTTATCGCCCATTTTTTGTGTTTAGTTGGATCTGATTAATTATTGAGTATTATTCAGCGAGTCTTAAAGCCTATAGTTCTTATGAAAAAATGATGTATACAAGCTATTTCGAAAAATTGTAAACTAATCTGTGTGTTTTCTTATTTCTAGTTTAGATGGACTGTTAGTGTATATCGAGTCAATACTTGGTAAACTGTGTAAGACAAAAGTTTTGTTTTAGTATCAAGTCTCATCACAAAAAAAAAAGAAGGGGAATTAACTTATCCATGGTTAGATCTTGAATTTTGGAAAGACTAAATTCAAAGATTTTCTTAATTCTTTATGATTTTTCATTTTTGGTACCTTTTTTTTTTTTAATTCCCCTTTGTAGCGTTTCACCTTGTAATCTTGTTATTTTACATAGTTTGTAAATTTTCACGTTTTGATATTATGATATCCCTTATTACCTTTAAAAATAAATAAAAAATATAAATGAAAGGGACTAGATGGTATAATTCTACGATGAAACTTTGATTAAGAAAAACCAAAGATAAACGAAAAGCTTACTAAAGAGATGCTTCATCAATATGATTCTCCAACGAATATCCAAACTAACTCTTCTTAGAGTGCTACAAAGTCTCGAGTCAAAGCAATATCTTAAAACATGCTTGAACTCTCAAGAAAAAACGAAATTGAAACCATAACGTAACAAATAACTTAACAAGTAAGACATATAAAAAAGACGCAACTAGAAAAATTAGCTCTAATTTAAACAAGAGTTGTACATCTTAAAAGACAAATCCCATAGAAATCAGAATTCCTTGCAACAGCCAACACAATACATATTAGAATTAAATTAGTTCTGTTTTTAAGATTAAAACCAAACAAAACTATAAGAGAAACAATATCAGAAGAGTCAAAATTTAAATATAAAGTCTCACGTTATAAAGCCTTGAACACATTTACATAAACTTCACACTCTCTACATAGTCTAGAAAGGTGCGAATGAGAATTGGATCATCATGCTTGAACTCTTCAAATCCCTGAATATTGACTCTTGTAATAATGTTTCTCTCGATATTGTAATAGAAGAGGTGGAAAGGGTTTGATAGAATGTAAGGCGAAAACACAATCTCACCGGTACCAGTCATTCCAAGTACAATCTTCAGCTCACAGCCATTGTCCCACAAATGTGGCAGTACGCATATACGTTTTGACCACTTATGTTTTCCAGCATCTTCTAGAACCCACAACACAAGTTGTTTTCTATGCCAATATCTAAACAGACATGCACCTAATTTACCTTTGTAGTTGAACAAAGTCCAATGCTCACGTCGTAACATGTCTTTATCCATGTTAATGAAGCCAAATTTCTCAGAACTAAAGTCGAAGCAAACTATCTTGTAAGATCCTCCTCCAAAATAAGCCATGTAATACAAAACCCCATGTATGCATGTTTGACCATATTTTGTAGGAAAATGTGGAGATACTTGGTCTTGAATCGTCCTCCATAAAATTTTTCCAGCCTCCAATGTCAAAACCTGATGCGTAGTTGGGTTTTCATAACCTGGACATGTCATACACAACACTTTGTATTGTTTGTTAATCAGATCATACCCTAAATAGCAATCTTTAGTACTTGAAGATGTCACTTTGGGTAATGTTACGGACTCTCCAGAAGATGTCA